CAGCTGCAATTATCTGTTTCCTACTAAGGTTGTAGATACTTTGAGTTTAAATAAGTTTTAGGTTGGGAGAACATCACTATTTTCAACCTTTTTGATCTTCATTTTTATTTATTTCTTTATTTATTTTTTTGAGACAGAGCTTCGCTCTTTGTCGCCCAGGCTGGAGTGCAGTGGCACGATCTCAGCCCACTGCAACCTCCACCTCCGGGTTCAAGCGATTCTCCTGTCTGAGCCTCCTGAGTAGCTGGGATTACAGGCTTCTGCCACCACGACTGACTAATTTTTGCATTTTTAGTAGAGACAGGATTTCACCATGTTGGCCAGGCTGGTCTCAAACTCCTGACCTCATGGTCCACATGCCTTGGCCTCCCAAAGTGTTGGGATTATAGGCATGAGCCACTGTGCCCAGCCCATTTTAATGTATAGTATGAATTCCTTTAAGTTTATGAAAATGGAACCTTTCTGGGCTTAAATTTAATCAGCTTTTATTTTCTTTGTGTACCTCCTAGATCAGGTGTCAAAGAGTGAAATAAAAAATGGGCATCTCATGGGAGGGAGAGGAGAGAGTGGATAGTCCCCCTTGTTGTTTTAGAATTTTCCTTCTATAGGTCAGAGAGGAGTGATGTGATTTCTTAGAATCTGAAAGAAATGTGTTCTCTCCCCTGCCATCTTTTTTTAAAAAAAGTGCTTACTCATAAAATATTTGGTTAATCAGATTTCTCTGCTCCTTGCTACTTTAACTTTATGCTTTTTGTCTTTCTTTCTTTTTATAGGGCTGCTTTGTTTTTAAGCCAAACTCCAAAAAGAGAAAGATCTCTGTGCCAATAGGTAAGGTGTCTGAATATTAAATGTTTTATTCCCTACCTTCTTAAACTATTAAGAACTAACCCTAATTGAATTTAGTAATTCTCTTATCTGAGCTTGGCTTACTTGCCATGTTGATGTAGCGTTTATGTTCCAAGGCATTGGTCAAAGAGATAAGAGGACACCCCAGGGCTCTAATTGAAGAGAATCCAATTAGATCTTCCAAAGGTAAGTTGGAAGCAAATTTCCTTCAAAGGATATGCTGCCATTTTTAAAAGAGATTGTCTTTTTGATTACTTCTCTGCCATTGTTTTTTTTATCTACAACTTTAGAAATGAAAGTGAGTTTCTGCTAGAGAAACATTTTGATCCTTGATGAAGTAATCAAAACAATAAAGGCTGACTGGCAACGCAGACGTCTAACAATGGAGGAAATGTTATATAGAAAATAAAATGATAATTGGTAACATAGGAAAACCTAAGAAATAAAATGACTACAAATTTGTATATATTTTCTAATGAAAATTGTATAAAAATTATTTTTGTGTTAAAATACAGTATTCATAGGGAGACTTAAATATGCTTAAGTCATAGGCCAGGCATGGTGGCATCTCTCGGAAGCACAGGGGTCCCACACAGTTTTCAATCACTCTCAACTAAAACAAATTTGTTCAATTATTGGGTTTTAATTACTCATAGACACACATACTCCTGTTATTAAGGGAGTAGATTTTTGTCACTCACTCTGACATATGCATACTCACACACTCATATACCCATGTGGGTAAGAGAGGAAAGACATTTCTTTAGTTTTGTTTATTTATTTATTTTAGAGACAGGGTCTCAGTCTGTCACCCAGGCTTCAGTTCAGTGGCCCGATCATAGCTCACTGCAGCCTTGAAAAATCCTGGGCTTAAATGATCCTCCCACCTCAGCCTCCTAAGTACCTGGGACTACAGGCGTGCACCACCATGCCTGGGTAATTATTTTTTAAAATTTTTTGTAGAGACAGGGTCTCACTTTGTTGCTCAGATTGGTCTTGAACTCCTGGGCTCAAGTGATCCTCCCGCCTCAGCCCTCAAAGTGCTGGGATTACAGGCGTGAGCCACTGTGCCCAGCCTAATTTGTTTGTTTGTTTTCATTTGGGTTTTTTTGAGACGGAGTCTAGCTCTCCGATCTCGGCGTGATCACAGCACAATCTCAGCTCACTGCAACCTCTGCTTCCCGGGTTCAAGCGATTCTCCTGTCTCAGTCTCCCGAGTAGCTGGGACTACAGGCATGCGCCACAATGCCTGGCTAATTTTTGTATTTTTTAGTAGAGACAGGGTTTCACTGTGTTGGCCAGGCTCATCTCAAACTCCTGACCTTGTGATCTGCCCACCTCAGCCTTCCAAAGTGCTAGGATTACAGGTATGAGTCACTGAGCTTGGCGGTGACAAGGCAAAAACAACACAGGTTGTCTTAAAGTCCCAGTGGTTTCCTGG